TGCTTAGGGTCAGGTATCTATCCATATTCCAACCAACTGTGGACAGTAGTAGGCTGTTATGTGGTATAAATAGGAGTACAAATGTACTGGGAATGAATACACGATACTTATCTAAAGCTATCCATATTAATCTTAGTAAATGTTAAACTCAGCTTGCTACTCTAACCTGATTTTTTCTCTTAAAACTAGAGCTTTCATGTTAAAAGTTTTTATTTTTAATATACTTCACAATCCAGCAGTTTCAGTTCCTGTGTGGACCTAAGGAGCAGCCTCACCTTCAAGGCCCTGGCTAACACCAAATGCCACAGGAATTCACTGATGATAAAAAATAAATAAATAAATTAGATGGCCAACTTAAGGATTCTCACCCTGAAAATTCACATCAGGACCAACAAGAATACTGCTGGCATGCCCCCTTGATCTTTTTGTTCTACTTCCCCTCTCCTCCTTATAAAAACCTCTGCCTGCACTGAGATCTTACAACGGGTTTTGAGGACTGGGAAAAGTTCCCTCTCTTCTCAAGATGCCAGCACTTGAGTAAACCTCTTTCCTTTATGAGCACCATTGCCACAGGTTTGGCTTTCCTTGCAGCAGGCAGCTGAATCCAGGTTCATTCGTTTTCAAAAAGGCAGGAAAGAAAGGAAGTTGAATAGAATAGAACAGAATGGAATGGAAAAGAATAGAATAGAATAGAATAGAATAGAATAGAATAGAATAGAATAGAATAGAATAGAATAGAATAGAATCCTATATAAGAAAGCGGTAATATGCAAATTAACCCTCACACCCTCACAAGATGGCTGCCTATGACCAGGCCAGCAGGGGGGTTAGTGTGGGATGACCAAACAACTGAACAAGCAGGCTGCGTGGGGCAATCAGGTCGGCAGGGGGGTTAGTGAAAGATGACCAAACAACTGAACAGCAGGCTGCGTGGGGTGACCAGGATGGCAGGAGGACCATGAGTGGTGACCAGGCTGGCAGGGGATCAGTTGGGGGCTCTTACACTGGTGGGGGGGCAGCGAGGGGTGACTAGGCCAGTGGGAGGAGGGGAGGCAGTTGGGTTTGACCAGGCTGGTGGGGTGGGGGTCAAAAAGGGGTGACCAGGCAAGCAGGTATGTGAGCAATTAGAAGCCAGTGGCCCAGGATTGTGAGAGGGATGGATGTCCAACTGCCAGTTTAGGCCTGATCCCCAGGATCAGGCTGAGGGGATTGCCCCCCCATGCATGAATTCTGTGCACCAGGCCTCTAGTTAAAAAATAAAAGAGGGAAATTAAAAAATGGTGGCAGAGTACATGGAAACTCAGAGACATGCTCTTGGGACCAAACTGGAATTACAACTAAAATACAGAAGAACCACCCTGAAAAATCAACTGAAGATAAGCTGGATATAACCCAGATAACCAAGGAAGGAAAGTTGT